ATTATGGCCCCAACAGTGCTCACTGGAACATTCAGAAGTATAGAAATCCTTCTGTAACCAATGCCATCAGTTTGTTTTGCAACAATAAGGTTGCGAAGGTCTTGAGAGAGCGCTTTGCTTTTACCCATCATGAAATGTTTCTTATGTGACACGTTGGTCATGAGACACCTTTTTATAGGCCATCATTTGGGACTGAACCAACTAATATTAATTTCCACTGACAAGGTGCAGGATTGCTTTAGTATGGATTACTTGGATTGTTACCGACGTCTGGTGAAAATTTAATGTCAACAGCACCTTTAGAAATATATTTACTGAGAAAAATGGTGATGTGTTCAATACTTATTTAACCCGCTGTATATATGCACACTATTGTTGAAAACTTTGGGTCCGTTTTATGTATCTACATATATATATGCATACACAAAACAACTTAAAAGTGATCTGTTCTTGTCCATTTGGTTGTAATCAACAACAAATTTTATGAAACTTGTGTGACTGTGTTGAATTTTCTTTGAATTTCAGTAAATTCTCCTTCCTGTCATTCGAGTTCAAACTACTCACCATATGTGTGTGGCCAGTTCCATTATAATTGAAATTTTCCTTGAAAATACATTCAGAATTTTGCCCAGTCCTGATTTGATTCTCATCTGTCTTCAGGGCTGGAAATGGCTGGTGGTGGGTTCCAGTGGTCGGGCCGATGGTGGGCGGTGTGGCCGGGGCAGTGATCTACTTCCTGATGATTGAGCTGCATCACCCTGAGCTTGAGAAAAACCTTGAAGATGACAACAGCATCAAAGATAAATATGAATTGAACACCGTGAACTAGAAAGAGAGGGAAAGTATGGTATCTTTTCCTTCACCATAGACCTCAAACAAGAAGCACTGTTATTTCTACACACTCTCCTTCTCTGTCTTTTCCTCTAGATCTCTTTTCTGAGTCTTTTGCCAAGTCAGTTCATGAAACCAAGCAGCTATGAAAGACAGCAAGTGTTAATTATCTATAATTCTAGCTTTTTCAAGTTCTTAACAAGTTTAACTTTTTCAAAGATCACCATTCATTCTATCTATTCTATAGAGCGATCAACAGCAGAAACAGTATTTTATGTAAAGCATCCACAGTTTTACCATCAACACCACTGCCAGTAAAAGATCACAGGTGCTAACAGATCCTCCATATTAACAACTCTGGAATGTATATAGAGATAATCATAATTTTTAACTGGTTTCTCAGGTTTCCTTTTTTGTTTCTTAAGATATAGTCAATGCAGGTTGTCTAGCCTCAGCCAGAGAGAGTTAAACCACTCCAGCATTGCACCTATATTTTTCCTTCATTCCTTTGTCTAATCCTACTACTTCTTCTTATCATGTTAACTTTCACTGACATCTGACAACCCTATAGCTTGCCATAAGAAGATGTTCTTCTCTCACTAAAATGAAGGAAAAGGGTACTTTACTGTCCACTCGATTTAATCAAAGATGAACAGGCTAAACGGTCTGTAAATGTTGTCTGTAAACGACAGGACGAATCAATACAACACATGAATAGATGAGCTACTAACTGCATGCATAACTGCTGATAAGGTAACTCGCATGAGGTAATGGAATGAACATTGTAATGCATGCAAAAATGAATTTGCAACGAACTATTACATGAAAGCTTAAGAAGAAATAAATGTGTATTTATGCTACAATGTGTCAAAATGTTCAAGAAAATAATTGCATCACAACTTATAGTAACAGTATTGCGTATAACATCACATTTCAGACTTAGCAAAGCTTAATGTGATGATTTTAGGTATTTCGTAACTGTTGTTAGTGAAATAAAATTGTTTAATATGTGTTTTTTTCCCTCTTTTTAAGAACATTATTATAGTAATTTATTTACTGGCACTTAAATGAACTAATAGCAGTTGTTTGTACAATTCAAAGAGATATTTCAAAATTTTTGTCTTTTTAGCCTGTTATTTCAGGTTCAGATTTTTTTACTTATTGTCTCATAAATGAAACTTTTTGAGATTAAATTACTGCATTCAAAATGTTGAAGAAAGTATTGTCATTCTGCTAATGTAGACCTAATATAATAAAATAAATATACTGTTATACATATCTAATGTCTGTTTTCCTGTGAATGAGGATTTAGACCAGAGCAGCCCCTATTTCCTTGATATATCTGCATTCTACAGTACTGCATCACAGTCAGTTTAGTTCTGCCCTGAGATACACTACACATCTAATGTACCTTCTTAGATAATTGAAACGACCTTTGCAAACCTGTACACATATTAAATTTGTGAATTAATTTGCTTAGAGAAACATTAATTCACCTCGACATATTCAGCCAAACCAGAAACATTTCACCACGCTCCACTTGTTCCAAACCTGTATGAGTTTCTTTCTTCTGTTGAGCACAAAAGGAGATATTTTGAAGAATGTTGGTAACCAAACAGTTGACGGTAGCCATTGACTTCCATAATATTTTGATTGTTTACCAACATTCTTCAAAACATCTTCTTTTGTGCTCAACAGAAGAAAGAAACTCATACAAAGGAAATGATGACAGAATTTTCATTTTTGGGTGAACTATCCCTAGGGAGAGATAAAAAGAAACGTTCTGACTGCACTGATCTGCACAACTATATCTGACCTGATTTAATCATTATCACTGTCTGACCATCAACATCAGCTCACTGAGTTTATGCATACATACGCCCTCCGTTACTGCTAACTAGACTGTAGTATGTTCTTCAGCCAACCATAAAAGAAACAGTTCTGACTGCACTGATCTGCACAACTATATCTGACCTGATTTAATCATTATCACTGTCTGACCATCAACATCAGCTCACTGAGTTTATGCATACATACGCCCTCCGTTACTGCTAACTAGACTGTAGTATGTTCTTCAGCCAACCATTCTATGAAACAGCACAACTGCAACATGCTGCATGGGTTAAATATATAAAGTTGATTAGAATTTAGAAAATTACCAACAGCATTATCTTTAAGAAGAAGTAAGATTTACATTTTAATGTGGGAATCAGGGAATCAGAAACATTTTTAACAGAAATTAAAAGAGAAATATAATTTAAATCTTTAATGACATCTATCAAGGCTGAAATGACAAGAGCTTACACACACACACACACACGCACACACACACACAGAGATATTTCCATGTTTCATGGGCATATTCCATAGATGTAATGATTTTTAGACTGTACAAACTATATTTTCAATCCCCTTTTCCTAACCCTACCCCTCGCACAAAACTTTCTGCCTTTTTAGATTAAAAAAAAAAACTTCATTCTGTATGATTTATAAGCTGTTTAAAAAATGTCCCCACAAGGTCAAGATGGTATGGTATTACTATACTTGTGGTGATTTGGTCCCTATAATGTAGAGAACACCACAATACCCATAATGCAGGACCATATACAAACACAGATGCAACTCTCTGTCCTGTTAACTGTTGTAAACAGGCTTTTATTTACTAACTATCTATCTATCTATCTATCTATCTATCAACAGGACATGGACACATACTTACTATCAGCATCTGATCTAGAATTAGTTAATGAGCTACATAATAAAAATAAACCGGGTCTAACTACAAGAAGTAGAAAAGACCATGTAGTGAGTTAAACCATCATTTGACATCTCTGAATAGCATTTGGAGACATGGTATTTGAATAGATATGTTATCAGTAATGAGTCAGCATGTACCTTTCTGAACTCTTTCTGACAACATTTTTTCACCAATCGTGGCATAGATTCGTATGTAACACCATGCAGCCAATCAGGGCCATCATTTGGCTGCAAAATGACAAAAGGTTTCAAAGCTCACCCAGAGGATTGAACTGCCTGAACCCTCCCCTAACAAACATCCCCTCTGGGCCAGCTCCCTCCCCTCAGACAGTTTCAAAAATTGTTCAGTAATCACCTGCCTCACAGTGGCCTCTTCTCTTGCCCGAGAAAAAGAGAGGGAGGAAATATTTGGATTATCTGTGTGGACTCCTGAAGTGGCCTGAACATGAAGACTCTAATTAAAATAGTGTCCTGCTGTCTGATCATCTTTCAGCTGACTGATGGAAGGAAATTTCGGGGTAACAGAGCAGGTGAGGGTGAATTACGCTTAACTTTTACAATTCTGTCATCATTTCTTCACCCCCATGTATTTTTTCCTTTATTTGACTTTTGCAGAACGCAAAAGAATATATATCTATTTATTTAGTTTTTGCCCACTGTCAACTGGATGCAATGCTGTTTTGGACCACACTGACTTGCATTGCATGGACAAAAACAGTTGAAACATTCTTCAGTATATCTTCTTTTGTGTTCAGAAGAAATCATACAGGGTTGGGACAACATGTGGATGAGTAAACGACCGAATATTTGGGTGATCGTATGTTTAAAATAATCTTCTGAGCAACAGTGAAGCACATGCTTCTTTTTCCCTTATTCACTAAGGTATTGTAGCATGCACTATATGTTGTGACAGAATGTGGTTCACAATTAAGCTTAGTGATTGCAGGAAAAAAATCTAAATGGAAACAACAAAAACACACAAAAAAACAGAATAGTATGTGTAGGTGAACAAGAGGTGCTACTGATGCTCCTTGGTAAAGTAAAATATTAAGGAAGATATGGATGTGCAATAACAGTCAGCATTAATTGTGCTATGTCTCATTTAATCAATGCTGATGTAAATTGCAAACACTTGTATTAAAATCCATAAAATCACAGAGAAATAATATCCTAGACTGTGTTTGCAAATAAAAGCTGAAAATACTGAAAGAGAAATAAATATCTTCATTCACACACTGACCTTGCTATACATGTACATTTTTCACATGCAAAAACTACATCACAGAAGAATATGCTGAATCAGAATGTGAGGTTTATCATTATCATTTATCTCAGATTTTAAAAATCCAGACACTTCAAAGGGAAATTTGTTTTGTATTAACTCTAAATGATGCATTCAGATTTTTTGCACGCTTGGGTTTTTTGACCTTTCATAGAATGCTAACAACTAATTGCTAACCTGGCAGAGAGATCAATTCCTCTGTCAATGTAAGCAGAGACAGTTAGAGAACTGCATGTCCCATTAAAATAAACATTTGCATAGGAAAACGTTAAAACAGGGGTTCAAATAGTAGGAATCTCAGACAGCTCTAATGTTTTTACAGGACATGCAACAAAAAGTGGTAAACCCATGGGTACAATAGGTTTATGAAACATTTTATATTACATATGTTGATGCAACATAAATGTTTAATGCATATGAGAAATGCATATGCATGTGTCATATCCTACTCTCCACATGCTCATTTAATGGGCAAGAGTGATGGGTAAACACATTTTATATTGACTCAAGCTCAAACCATCAAGCTCAAAGTTCCCCCGGACCTATATGGGATCTAAACATACTCCTATCTTATTTTCATTTGTAACTTCATTTCAATGCAAAATTTTGCATTGCTGCTTATGGAAATATATATCAATATTCCAGGACTATTGTACAGCCTAAAAAAAAAAAAATAACTGTCCGTGAACCTCAGTTTATGTATGACCATACTAACAGACACTGAGCCTGGAGAGAGGATGAAGATGCCCTACGAACCTAAATCAGTCTTCAGGCTTTACACTGACGGCATAGATGATACATGTACAGTGGAGCTCTTCAAGCCTCACACTCTGGACGCTTGTGGTTTCAATAGCAGCCATCCTCTGGCTATCATCATTCATGGCTGGTCGGTATGTTGAGTTCATTGATTTAATAGAAAAACAGATCAATAGTTCAAATGTACAAAAGGTCATGACCTTGGCATGGATTGCAAACAGCTATGCAGAGTTATTTCTAATCTGATAAAGGCGAAAGTGACTTACAAACAAAACCGGAGGGATGTGATCTATGCTGCAGCAGATGCATCTGAAAAAAATTAAATAAAATAAATTAATAAAATCCTCCTCGCTGTGCTGCAGGTGGACGGAATGATGAAGAACTGGATTTCCAGGTTGGCATCAGCACTAAAAAGCTCAGAAGGAAGCATCAATGTGGTGATTGCAGATTGGCTGACTCTGGCACACCATCACTACCCTATCGCTGTGCAGAACACACGCATTGTGGGGCAGGACATTGCCCACCTGCTGAGGTGGCTAGAGGTGAGGGTTGGTTTGGGAATACAAATCTCTTTACAGTTATGGATGCAGAATTTATTTCCCAAGGGGAAAATGCTACCATCCTTACATCTTACATGGAACTGACTCAGTAGAATGTTAATAGATCATAAGCAGATATTTTGTACATTTCCTACCGTAAATA